TGGGCGTGGCCATCGCGACGCCCCGCCCTCGCCTCACGGGACTCGGGCCGGACCCCGCCCCTCCCGCCTGCGCCCTCGGTCCCGAGCTTGCCGGCCCAGGGAAGGCGAGAAGCCTGACTTCCCTGCATCGCCCTCGCAGCACCGGTCGCTTTTCTGATTCCCTCCCCTCTCTCTTCTCAGCACTGGGGCGTAGTTCCAGCCCACCTTCCGTCGGTCTCCAGACCTGGGGCGCGGAAGACACCCTCGCACTGCGGCCCCACCCCCGAAATGCCCAATACGAACTTTCTTTCCAAGGACTCTCCTCGGAAGTTTACAATTTTTTTTAATGCTAATATCTGATTTAATCAAATTCTTCTGTAAAAAGTTTCGTGTTCACTTTGAATCCCCTCCACCAAGCTGCCATGATTATCGAATGTAGATCAAAGCATCTGATTAGAAAAGATGAAACCTTTGAGAAAATACCTTTTGGATTGTTTGTTCTTTGTTTGTTGTTCTTTTGTTGAAATGCGGGAATCTGCAGGACAGCGGTCACACTTGTCTTCATCTTGGTTATAATCATGCTTATCCCAGGAAGGGCAAGAATGCCTTTTATCAAACGGAAATTTTAAAAAAACCTAAAACAAAACCGATAGAAGAACTTCTTTAGGATTTAAATTTTGTTTTGTTTTGTTTTCTAAATTTCCCCTATATCTCCTTAAGCCCCACCACCACCACTTTTCTTTAACGCCATAAGTTTATATATGTAATATATATATATATGCCTACACACTAATCTTTGAGGTCAATGGGGAAAGCTAGCTAACAGAAAAAGGGGAACTTTGTTTATGATTTCCAGCCCATCCTTGGTTACAGGTCCTTGCTTTATTAGAAAGGGCTCACTGTTTTTCTCTCTGCTTTAGAGAAATGACTGCAATCGTGGAAATGTCTGCCTGTATTCAAGGGACCTAGCAGTAGGGTGAAAGAAATATTTTGGAAAGAGAGGACCTTCTGATGTCTGCTAGGTCATTTTAAAAAGAAAAGTATAGAAGGAGCAAGAAAACCTGGATCATAACCTGACTGATTAGATGCCTGTCCCTGGGCCAGTTACTGCTAAATCACAATTACCTAAAGTTTTCGACTGTTTTAGGCAAGAATTGCTCTAAGCTGTCTATATATTTGAACTCATTTAATCTTCACAAAAAACTAAGGAAGTAGTACTATTACCATCGTCTCCTTAAGAACTCTGAAGAACAGGGAGGTTAAGATCAAGCACCAATACACAGTGGAGCCCTGATCCTAACGTGTTAAGAGGCTTGGTCCTACCTGTTTTAAGTTACCCTCCTGTTTTAAACCTATGACTTCATGTTCTTTTCAGTTCATGTGCGGAACCAGTAATCACTGTGTGCTAAAACGTCAGGTGATGGGGACATGGAGGAAAGAAGCTGAATTGGTTGTCCTCTTGAAGTTTTCATTCTGTGTATCAGTAACGTTCGTCAAATCCTCTGTCCAAAAGTCGGAGACAATAGGTTAACTGTAATGGACCTGAAAATCATCTTCAGGTTAATGCCCTACCCTACTCTCAAAGATTCTGCTCTTAGGGTGGAGGGTATAGTTTGGTGGTAAGAGTGTGCGCTTAGCATGCAGGAAGTCCTGGGTTCAATCCTCAGTACCTCCATTAAAATGAATAAACCTAATTAACCTCCCTCCACCCCATCCCCAGCCAAGAAAGTCAGTATAAAAAAAGATTCTGCTCTTATAGATTTGGAGGAGGGCTTAGAATGTGGACTTTTTACAAGACCCTCAGCAGTTCTGAAGCTGGACAATTATGAGAAAGATCATCAAAAATCCCCATAGATAAACCCTAGGCCTGTGTGTGTGTGTGTGTGTGTGTGTGTGTGTGTGTGTGTGCGTGCGTGCGTGCTGCTTTCAAGTGGCAATAAGAATGCTGTTTTCCTTCCTTGCAGGAATAGTGGGAGAATTCCAATGAAGTGTCTGTATTCTGAGGGAAGTGTAATGTAAACCACAAGACTTACTGCTTTCAAAGTTTCTTGCCAATGGGGCTTGAGTGAGGGATTCTAGGGTGGATGGGGAAAGGGGAAAATCTGTTTGCTGAGGAGTGAGACCAACTCACCCACCATAGGGCACCTGAGTTTCTAGACGTCAGGAAGTTGTGTTTTAATGCATAAAAGCCGATTAAGGGGAAATGCTAAATAAGTTAAACATAAAACAGATAAAGTCTAAAACGAATATAAAACAAAGAAATAGGCAGCTTGCCTCCAGGATAGTGGTGAGCTCTGCCTTCAAAATCTCAAAGCGCATAGAAGGAGGCTGATAAAGTGAACCCCCTTACCTCCTCTCCGAAGTGCTTACTGCACTTGCAAATAATGCAGGCCAGCCAGGGACAGTAAAAAAAAAAAAAAAAAAAAAAAAAAACAATGCCTATCCCTGAGGTCTGAAAAGTAAAGGCAAACATTCTACTCCAGTGGGTCAAAAGAAGCCTGCCATTGATAACCCCACCCCCCAGGGACCAGGCCCTCTCATTTTGCCTGTTAGATTCAGAAAAGTTATTTTAAGTCCTTAGGGTGTAGTATGACTCTCAGTCATTCTCCTACCTCCACCTTTAGAGGGTTTACCCTTGACTGGCAAGCCTCTGGCTTTCATTTACCCCCACAGTAATATTTTATAGCTTTCTTCTTCTATCGGATCTAAAATTCTTGAGTTGAAAAACTGACCTGGTAAACAGTTTTTACTTGTGAGAAAATAAAAAGCAGTCCTGCTGGCCGCCAGACCATGTTGGGGTCCCAACTGTATAGAATCAGCACTCACAGAATATAAACAGTTAAGTACCTTCTGTGACCAGAGACACGGCCACTACAGAGTCATAAAGAGTATTATGTCTAATGAAAGTGACTGTTGCTGCTTTGCCATTGATCTCTAGTCCGCTCTTGCTTTAATTCTCTCATTTCCTACATGAAAATGACCATTTCCCTTTCTCTGAGTTGCCCCACGTCTTGTCAACATCTAATCCAGCACAAGCTCCTGCTTCCTTAGACTCATCCAGCTCAAATCTAAATCCTCTGAGAAGTCTCTCCCACCTCCATGGAATGAACTGTCCTGTAATTTTGTGAGGGTGCCTTCTTGTTTATTTGCTGAACTGAGGTGAATAAACTTAACTGGATATTTTTTTATTATTATTACAAGTGTGTTCCTGTTGGTCTTTGGTTATTGAGATTTACAACCTGTCCATTTAGAAAGCAAACAGTGCCACGCCTCCCAATGCAATAAGAATCAATGTTGGAGGAGGGCTGAGGGGTGGAAAGTGAGGGCCTCAAAGTGAGGCCAGAATGGATCTACAGCTCGGGGTGGCTCCGGAAATGAATTAATACATTAATCAAATAAAACGTTGCTTTAACAGGGTTCCATTTTAAAAATTTACAAATCACAGAGGGTGTGGAAAGTGGAGTGATAAAGAAGAACTTTCCCATTTCAGCGTATGGGCTACAGTTTGCATTTCTGATAGCTGGTTCCAGAGTTAATGTGACACCCTGTTCTAATGGATCCTCAGTACATTGGCAGATTAGGAGCCTGTCGGTACCTTTGGCAACAGAATTCATAGTTCCCTTTCTCTCCCTTCCTCTCCAATCCCTGAAATTACAAAAATAAAGACAGACTCTTAGGCATGACATTAATATCTTCAGAACCCTACCCCAGCCTATCACTTGTATACGGTTGAATCAATAAATAAAAGAAGAAACCAACAAGCCACATAGGTTTGAGAATAGGGTGAGGTTATTGTGTATAAATAAAATCCAGCCTGATTATGGATGGACCTTGAAAACTATGAATCTTCTAGAAGAGATTCTAATCGTATTTCCTTTGACCACTAAGGTTCTCATGACCTTGAGAACTCAGACTGTGCACTTAAAGTCTACACTGGGCTGAGTCTGGGACTCGAGACAGGTATGTTATCTTGACCAAGTCTCCCAATGTCTCCAAACCTATGTTCTCATCTGCAAGGTATAAATGATAGCTGTCCTGTGTGCTTGCCTGGGTTGTTGTGGAGATCAAGTGAGACAATTCTCCTGGTAACTCTCTGAAAACTAGGAAACCTGCAAAATATTCTTGTAATTTAATTTTTAAGTTCAGTATTATTTGTTTAGAACTAGGAACCCATAGTACAGTTTTTAATGAAATCCTCAGGGAAAGATGCAAGAGTCCAGGGCTGGAGCTGGGAAATGAGCACCAGCTCATAATCTTGGAACAGAGGAGCGAATGATGCTAGTTATAAATTGGAGGGGAAAAGAGGAAGAGTGGGAACATGGCAGTTCAGGGGATATCAAGCCGCT